AAGGGGGGTCTCGTCGGTCTTGTTGAAACGCCCCAGGATCTCGAATGCCTTGGCAGTGATTAGCTTCGGCGTCTTGAGGTCGCGGCGCGCGACGGCGGGGCGCGCGTGGGCATATTTTTCCGCGCTTGCACGCAGCTGAGTGCGTCGCAATATCAGCATCGCTGTCAGACCGGCGCATTTCCTCGTGGATCGCAGGCTGGGCCATCTTGGCGAGATTCTGGTCGGTAGTTCTAGTGCATCCGAGCGCCCGAAGCCTTCTGACTGCTGGTACTTGACGGGGAGCGATTGCTTTGCTTGGGGCCCACGCCTGGGGCCACATCGCCGCTGGCGAACAGATCTGGCTTCCCGAGGACCAAAATCCATTCGCCAGCGTCAGTGGCAAGAACACTCGACCAGCTGCCAGTCGCAGGGGGCAGAGATTCGATTTCCGAGGTCGGAGACTGCGACCTCTCACCGTCGATGATAGCGCGGGGCCCTGCTTTCAGCTTAACCCTGTGGCCCCTCGCGCAGCGGTGTTCGTGGCCGTTGAACTTGGTTCTCGATTATTGGTATGTCGTTATCTTCGACGCTGTCTTCTCGTCGAAGAAGGCCTCCAGTTTCCTCGGATGCGTCCGCGTCAAATCGCCATCGTTGAACGTGGCGGGGATGTGCGGCCAGTCAGCCCCCTCGCGCAAGTGGTCGAAGTCCGTGGGTGAGCGAGCGCAGGCCTTCGCGCCGGCGAGATTCATCTTGAAGATGCGGCGGGCGAAGCCGACGACGCACTGCGCGCTGGATTTGCCGCCCCCGCCAACTCCGAGCCACGGCAGCGCGTCTTCGTCCTGCTTGCCTATGTCTGGGGGCACGGCTGGATGTGGCGCCAGCAAAACGGATGCCCCTCATCGGGTGCTTCCTGAGCGGCGGGCACGCCTCCTCCAAGCCTTTGATGACGGAAGGGGCGCGGCCGACGTTTCAGCCGCATGACGAGGGGCCCCCATCTGCGTCTCCGTCTCTACTCGTTGGCGCATCTGGCAATTCCCCAGGACGAAGACGTGCTTGTGCATCTCTGTGATGTCGTAGCCGTCGGAGATCTGCCGCGGCGTCGCAATCTTGTCAGCGCGCTTTTCAGCCTTCGTTCTGAAGGTGTGGTAAGTAACCTGGAAGCCACCCATGAGCCCCTCCCTGGAAGCCACCCAGAGAGCCGCAAGGCCACCCATGAGCCGCAAGAGGTAGATGAAAACTATCCGCCATGTCCTCTCCTCTGCTCCTAACTTCGCCAGAACTGCTTCTCCATGGCGCGCGTGCTGAGCAATTTCGAGGGGGTGCAACCCGTCAGCGCGAAGTGCTTGGACTCTTTAACTTGTCGATCTTTCCCGGAAGCGCAAGCGCGTGCGATTCCACGTGGTGGTTGAAGGCCTTCGCGCTCTCCGGGCCGAGGATGCCTCGGAGTTGGGGATGTTCGTTGTTCTGCGTCATTCCCGGCGCGCTGACCTTGTCGAGCGTGTCGTCGGCAGCCAGGCAAACGTCGACGATGTGCGTCGCTGGAAGCGTGCCGGGCTTTGATCGCGCAGTGAGCTCGTCCATCTGCGGTAGATGCGCAGGCTGGATGGCTCGTCGCTGGCCGTCGCGGTGGTCGTGCTTCTCCATGGTTTTGCATGCCGCCGCGCCCGTCACCGTCGCCGCAAAAGCGAAAGAGATTGGGCTGTCGTTTTTGGTTTGTATTTTAAATGTTGGTTACATTACTGGGCCAGCGTGTAAAAGGCTAAAGGCGCGCCCGACGAGGATTGCGCGTCTGAGTTGGTGGCCATATCGCGCCGACTCGGAGCGGCGGCCAAGGGTGCCGAGCCGACTCGGGCGCGGCGCCGCCATCATTTTTCAGCCCAAAACCAATGCAACATAATTGGCCTCGTTTTGACATGCACGGCGTGCTTTGGGCATCGGGTTCAACGCTGCGCGCGCGTGGCAATGCGCGGGCGCTGGTGCACTCGCGCGCGTGGAGGCACGCGCACTTGTCTGTTTGCTGCGCCAACTCACAAAACGATGCGCGTGCAATCCCACGCTGGCATTTCCCCAAAAACTTGCTAACGCGATTCCGCCCTCTGGATTTTCGCAAAGTTCCGCTGGCGAAGCATGCTTCAGCCAACTGCCACATATGTTCGGTTCGTTATCGCAAACGCAAAAAATATTCAGGGGCGTCGCTGGCTGGATGGCGAACCCACCTAGACAGCGATTCTCCCCCAGCCCCGATCCCCACCAGGCGAGGGGAGTTACGCGTGTGTGCGCCGATTCTGGCCAGGCCCATCTGGGGCCCAGGATCGGTTGTGCGCTCCGTCCTGGCTGGTTCGACCAGAAGTCGGCGTCTGCACCTGTCCTGGCCAGGGCCATCTCGGGCAAAGCCGTGACGGCGCTCGTGCCGACTCTTCGGCCCAGGGCGAGCTTGGCCAGGGCCGGCATGTGTATGTGTGTGTGTGTGTGTGTGTGTGTGTGTGTGTGTGCGGTGTTCGTGTGTGCCGGGGGCGGCCGAGATGGGGTGATGATCAGGGGGGGTGGATGTCATGGCGTGGGCTAGGACGTTTTCGGCGCGTTTCATGGCCCCTTGTCCAATTTGAATGCTTTCCCTGGCCCCACCCCCCGGGCCGCGCACATGCTTCTGATCATGATTTGCGAACCCCCTGTGTATACTATATGCCCCTATCGGGCGCCCCCGATTCCTTCAGTATCCTCAGGCCCGTCGCGCTGCCCGTCGCCCCGCGGACGACGTCCCGGAGGTTCCGAATTGCCAAGACATGCATCCGGGGATCCAGGAGACGGCTGCTGTCGGCGACAGAAAACCCACACCCCCTCCTAAGAGGCCAGCAGGAAGTCTTGGGTGTGTGGTCCGACAGGACGCGGTGGCGGAGAAGGCCAGCCGCGTGCACAGCAGCCCCCGGTCGGGGCGTCGCCGATCGAACGGGGGCTTTTGCTCGGGGGGCGGGGAGTGTCAGTATCGTTTAACCGACCCCCATCCCCATGTTCATTCCCTTCGAGACCCCCACCAAATTACCGCCCCAGTTGGAGGTACACCCATCGGAACCAGAAGGGAATGGCCTATATCATCTAGGGGGGTAAGTCGGCCAGTGGGGCCCAGGCCACGCCGCTGGGGATGGGGATCGGTTAAGCGATGCTCAGAGTGAGGGGCGGCGATGGCAGCATCCGCAAGGCCACGCCTGAGCGAAGAGGCCCACGCGATGCCTCCCCGAGCCAGGGGTTGGGGGTGTCTCGAGCGGGGCGACGAAGGTCGGCGAAACCAGACCACCACGGGGGCCATCCTCGCCAGACGTGCTCGCGGAGGAGGAGGAGGAGGAGGAGGAGGAGGAGGAGGAGGAGGAGGAGGAGGAGGAGGAGGAGGAGGAGGAGGAGGAGGAGGAGGAGGAGGAGGAGGAGGAGGAGGAGCAGGGGGCGGGATTTCCGGGGGCCGCTTATGGAACAAATCGAGACAACGCGCGTCTGGGTCCCCCCCTTGACGACTGCGGTGCTTGGCGTCGTCTCTCTTTGCTCCTGTTCTCCGCGACGACTTGCGGGTCCTACCCCTGCGAGGGGGCGTCCCCGTTGGGGTTCACTTGGCTGCAGGTAGTTTTGGATTTCTTGACGCTACGCGAATCCTCACCAGCCCATCCAGAAATAGATCGCCAGGTGAGTTGCCTTGGTCAGGGAAGTGTAGAAGCCTGCAGCGTAATAACCGCCTTGGAAGTGTCTTCTCTGGTCCCTCTGGGAGCCGTCTTGGGGTTCCTCGCGGAGCCATTTGGGGCACTCCTGGGATCCTTTTGAGGCTCTTTTGGGGTGTCTATGGGCCCTATTGGGGCTCTTTGGGGGGTTCTGGGGGGCCTGTTGGGGCCGTCTTCGGCACCATGGCTCGAAAAGAGGGGGGGGTAAATTCAGCCCCCCCCCCCCCCCCCCTCGGAGGCACAACAATGATGTCTTGAGGCCCTCGTGGGGCGCTGTTGAGGCGCTCTTGGGCGCTCTGGGGGCTCGTGGGCCCCTCTTGGGTTTCTCTTGGGCCATCTTGGCGCCATCTTGAGGCCTCAAGAGCCCATAGGAAGCGAAAAGGCGAGAAGGCAATACACAGTGATTTTTTGAAGGGTTTCGACGTCTTTGGGGGGGTCCTTTTGAGGGATCGGAGGGCACTTAAACGAGTCTTGGGGCCGTCTTGAGGCCTCTTGGATGTGTGTCCGAGGCTACCTTGAACCATCTTGTGGTATCTTGAGCCATCTTGGAGGCCATCTTGGGCTCTCTGAGGCCCTCTTGGAGTCATCTTGGAACATCTGCGGCGCTCTCACTGCCCGTGCCCCCCCCAGGCCCAGGGGAGGGGGTAGGGGGAGGGGTAACACCCCCCCGAGCAGCGGAAGGAAGGGTTTTAGCAGAGAGAAGAGACAACTCGTTAAACCACCTTCGCCCAGAGGGCTGGTGGGATTCTGAAGCCCGGCCGGCGTTTCAGGAATCTGACCTTCAGAGTTAGGGTTGGCATGCGGTTGCCTACAAGTACCACGCCCCCACCCCGGCGGTTTGGAGCGAGTCTTGGACACCAGAGCGTCTCCGTCCGAGAGGCGCTGAGGGCGGCGTTGACTGCGCGGACATTCGCGCGCAGAAGCTTGCCCAAGGTCGCGCAGGAGCGCCCTCGTGCTCCTGCGTGAGTGCCGCGACGGGCCGCCGCGTCTTCGTCGCGCAGGGCCCCGCTGCCTTCGTCGCTCCTCTGGCCCCGGGCATGCGGTGTCGTGGCCGATCCTCCAGCGCCGCTCTGGACGACGGACTTGGGGGGTGGAGGGGAAGGGATGGGAGGGGAGGGGAGGAGGAGGAGGAGGGAGGGATGGGAGGAGGAGGATAAGGAGGATGAGGAGGAGGAGGAGGAGGAGGAGGAGGAAGAGGAGGAGGAGGTGGAGGAGGAGGAGGAGGAGGAGGAGGATGAAGAGGAGCAGGAGGAGGTTTGAGGGGGGCCCGCTGCGATCGGCGAGGTCGGACGGGCTCGAGAAGGCCGGCGGGAGGGTCTCGTACTCCGTCCACAGGCCGTCGTCAGAGTTGATAGAGGACCAGGAGGTGCCAACCTTAAGTCGGGCACGTCCCTCTACAGGAGAAATATTCAATAATGGAAACAGGTAGCCTGGGGACTATGTTTCGACACTTCGTGAGTTTTTTTTTTTTTTTTTTTTTTTTTTTTTGTTTTTTTTTTTGTTGTATATATATATATATATTAAAACATGTTTTTTTGACTATTTTTCAATGTTCGTCCAAAATGTGCCTGTAGGAGGACATGCCCGACCTGAGGCCAACCAGTCTACCCGCCCCGATCCCAGCTGGCCTGGCCCCGGGCCCAGGTCGGGTCTGGCCAGGACAGGTACAGACGCCCTCCTGGCCCAACCAGCGGACGGCGACCACGCTGATCCTGGACCTAAGATGTCAGGGGGGGATATCAGAGCGTGAATTACCTACCCCGCTTTCGCTTCCAGGCAAAGCCAAGTCATACCACGCGCCTCCTCGTCAAGCGGCCTGACCAGTACAGGCCGTGGTTTGGCATCGGTTGGTATCTCTTGGAAGCGAGGGTGGTCAAAAGCGAGGTAGGTTTGTTTTGCCCCTAGGATAGGCTCAGGAAGGGGTGTATCGACCCCCGATCGCCCATTCGTTGCCTGCAGAGGCCCGATAGCCGCTGGCCCACGCCGCCCAGGGACGTGCGGATTTGCGATAGTGGACCTGTCGCCGATCCATCGGGGGGATGTACCGCCGATTCCAGCTCGATGTTTCCTCCTCCCTGAGCCGCCCCCTCCTGTAGTCAGGATCCGCCGTTTGTGCGATTGCAGCCATTCGGTTTTGTCTACCTACATGCGCCATACATATTCACATCAAATGTAAGGTTAAGACGACTTACGCGTTGATTCCAGTAGGGGCAGGTGGACAAACACGTTATGCCAGTTGTATGACTTCCATGGCGCCGCCACTAAAACTTTCCACACTTAATATCGAATTGGGAAGTATGTACTCACATTCAATGTGCAAAGCGCCACGCGTGAAATCAAGTTGCATTCGTTCTACAACTTGATCTTGATTCTAAGGGATTTCCAGAGGCAGCTATGTGGGGCCGCAGAAGCGTACCAGGGGAAAACAGGAGAAACATGACACACATTAAAAGCCCGGTGGTCTCAAATCGGACATGTCAAAAAGCTTGGACAACCGTTGACTCTTTTTATTTTTATAGTGCAGATCCCCCACTGGAAATCATTTTGTAGCAGTCCTTACGCATGTTTTCCTTTTGCGGCCAGAAACCACCACAATGATCTCTTTCTGTATCAGCCTTTTCTGCACTATTCCTTTTGTGGCGATTCCTCCAAAAGGATATTATGAGTGGAGCATCTTCAGTGGCCGTCACACTTGAACTACTTTTGTGGCAGCCTTTGCAACAGGATTCGAACTGTGGTGGATCGCACCCAATAAGAATAGGGACCAACACAGTTTTTGTGTTGGTGTTCCATTTGTAAGGACACTTTGGATTTCAGATTTTCAATGTTTTTCTTGTTTTCCTGGTACGCTCCCGCGGCAGCGGAGATCTCAGTGGCGGCTCCGTGGGGCGGCGGAAGCTTACAAGGAAAACAGGAAAACATGACACGCATTGAAATCTTCTTGCTGCAGCCTTTAACCAACGGGTCTTCGCTGTGGGGGATCTGCAGCCGCAGAGAATAATCACGAGCTTCTTAGTTTTTTGTTTGTTTGTTTTGTTTTTCTTGTTTGTGTAGAAAACTGCTATATTTTTTATGGGTTTAATATTTTCTTTCACTGTTTTTCTTGGTTTCCCAGTGACCTTTCGCGGCCCCACGGAGCCGTCGCCGAGTTCCTCGTGGGGCCGCGGACGCTGACCAGGGAGACAGGAGCCACAGGACAGTTATGATCAACCTTTTGAAGGTGATCGTTCTTTTAATTCGTTGTTTTGCCGATCGGCGCGGGCCCTCGCACCCCCCCTCCCCCCCCATGGAGTACAGTCGGGGCCCTGAAGAAGGAACCCTTTGGCTCCGCGCTCCTTCAGTGTTTCACAGCTTGCCTCAGGTTTTCCTTGTGTTTTCGATAGGAAGTCGAAGTTTAACTTATGGAAAAAGGGGGCCTCGTTCCTTCTTTAGGGTTCCTTAGGTCAACGCCCCGACTGTAGATCTTGGCTGTTTTTGGCGTCTGTTTCGAGCAGGTGGATCCTCTCCCCTCCCCCAGAGGGCGCACTGATGCAGACAGCCGCATCAAGCAGAGGTCCGTAGACAGACCCCCCTCCCCCCCCTTTTTTCCGCCCAATGTCGAAACGCCCAATAAGAACACGCTCACCGGTTTTCAGATGAAGCATACGAACGCAGCTAAGACAACCTGTAACTCTCGTTGTTTTTACAATGGTGCATCTACCCCACACCTGGCATCCTTTGGAGCAGCCTGTGCACACGGATTCCTTTTGTGGCGACCTTCCAAACGGGTTTTATTTGTGGGGCCTCTTCCGTGGCCGTCACACTTTGAATATTTTGTGTTACAGCACTTGCACAAGGATTCCCTTTGTGGCTATCTGACGAAGAGCTGTTTTTAATTTCGGGGAGTCTTCGGTAGCCTCCACACTTAAGGCCCTCTTCTAGGAGCCTGCACAAAAGGGAATCGATGTGTAAGACGGCCACATGATTACCCATGTGTGCAAGCTGCTACAATCGGACTTCAATGTTGGAGGCCGCTGCAGACCCCCACACAAGCGATCCTTTTGTAAGGTAGCCACACAAGGAAACCTTTTGTGAAGGCTGCTGCAAAAGGGTTTCATATGCAGCGGCCACGGCAGAAGTACCATACTTACAAATCTTTGCGGACGTTCGCCGCAGGAGGAATCCTCTGTAAGAGCTGCCACATCAGGACTTGAAATTTGAGAGGTATCTGCGTATACCGATGAAGGGAGCCAATTGCTGCCTGCGTTTTTTTGTTTTTGTTTGTGTATGTGTGTGTGTGTGTGCTTTTTCCCCCTGTGATTTTTTTCGCACTTCCCAGTTTGAAAGACGCATGGCTTCCATAGCGTTTCACTTTCTTTCTTGTTTTACGCTTTAGGTTTCTTGGACTCAAGGCGCCTCCGCTGCAGATCCCCCGCGTTTGAAATTCTTGTGTCAGACCGCCACAACAAGTCCGTTGTATAGGCTGCTGCAAAAGGATTTTGCGGAGGCCACTGCAGATCCCCCATATTTCAGTCCTTCATGTACGTTCGCCCCACAAGGAATCCCTTCGTACAGGGAGATAAGGAGGGATTTCAAGTGTCGGGGGTCTGCATAGAACAACCGCTGAAGTAAGGCCGTCACAGGGGCCATCACAGGTTGCCAACCACAATACAGAAGCAGCTGGCTGCCATCGCACAAACAGCTGGAGTGCGACGACGTTGCATAATGAGCGACATGAAGCGATGAGAGGAATCTAACACATCCAGGAGAAAGATGACAAAGGGTATACACAAAGCTGATTAATCAGACAACGCACCAACTTAACGAATCTGTTGCTGATGAAGGCAGGTATCACAAATAAGCTGATTGACCACCTCTTGCCCATCACGAGACGACCCGAAACAACACTTTGCTGTAGACGTACAAACAGCGTGTCGGACGCCCTACTACTACTACTACTACTACTACTACTACTACTACTACTACTACTACTACTACTACTACTACTACTACTACTACTACTACTACTACTACTACTGCTACTACTACTACTACTACTACTACTACTACTACCACTATTTCTACTACTACTTCTACTTCTTCTTCTACTACTACTACTACTACAACTACTACTGCTACTACTACTACTACTACTACTACTACTACTACTACTACTACTACTACTACTACTACTACTACTACTAACACTAGTACTACTGCTACTACGATTACTACTACGACCACTACTACGACCCCCCTAAGGTTCCCCCCTCAGGGTGGGCCGGGCCAGGATGGGATCGGTGCGCGCGGATGGTTGTCGCCCCCCCGAGAGGACCTGGACCGGAGGGTATCTCTCTACAGGAGCGAAAGCTTTCGGTCGGTTGGGCTCGAGGCGCTGCGCCAAGCGTCCGATCGCATGGAGGAGCGCGTGGTCGAAGAACCGCAGGCGATGCCCCCTTCCCTCCTCTTCCTCCCGACCTTCCTCCCTCCACCGCCCTCCTCGGCATCCTCACCCTCTATCCCTCCCTCTTTCCCTTCGCCCCCGCTGCTTCCACCTCTGCCCCTCGTGCTCTTCCCCCTGCCCCCAGTCTGCCCGCCCTCCTGCCTCGTGCCGCTGGCGCTGGCCTCCAGCCTCCGCGTCCGTCGTCGCCTGCTTTCCTCTCGCTCCCTCTCCCTCTGCCCTCGCCTGGCGGCACTGGCAGCGGACCTGGCGGGCAGAGTATCAGTTGGTTTCTCTGGTGGGCTGGCCTCTTTCCCTCCTCCCCTCCTCCTCTCCTCCCCAGGCATCCAGCGCCTCCGCACCTCCAATGCGCGGGCCCCGGGACCTGTCGACCTCTTCCTCGGGGCCGGTCTCTCACCCCGGTGCGCTAACTTGAGGCCTCGGGCCAGAAACCAGGGCGAGCATGGCGACGAACCAGCCGCCTCGTTTTGTTTTGATGCGCCGGATGTCTGGGCCCCTTCCTCTGTTATGTTTTTCTTTCGCTCCGTCCTATTTTTCGGCCACGCGCAGAGGGGGGTTGGGAGGGGGGGAAGGCTTCTTAGAAGCACCCCTGCTTCTCAGAAGGCGCGGGCCTCATCTATGGATATCAGGCCTGCGCCTTCTACGAAGCAGTCTCTGTCTGAGAAGCCTTGCCCCCTCCCCCTACCCCCTTGTGCGCGTCGCCAAGCTTTCTCCGAGACCGCATTCCTTCTGTCTCACGGGCCGCTCGGGGATCTCAACCGCTTTCACGGGGCCGGCCACTCGTACCAAGTTGTTCCTTGACGGTCTCAGGGCTCGGAAGCGGCCTCCGAAAGCTGAAATCTCATAGAGGCCCGGCCACCACGTTTTGTTGTTGTTGAAT